GCACAAATAACAATTTTTTTTTTTGAAAAAACATCGATTAAGAACTTTGAAGGATACATTGCAAAAGATGAGAAAACTCTTAAAGACATGTAAACAACTGTTTTTGTGAGGTTTGTGCATTTTATAAAGTTTAATCTCTTCAAACTCTCATTATTCCAGCAATAACGTACGTCTCAATACGACAGTTATCCTCGCCACGGATTATTCGGAAATATCCTCAACATGGTAATGATTAGTCTTCGGTATTAGAATGGAGCAATAGCTGCGTTCTGTTATGTTTTCAGTAGCAGTTGAGACATACCATTCTCTCCCCAGTCCGAGTTTGCAGAATTGGATCCCAACCAATATGGGACTTTTTCTGAACCAATTTGCTCCACCCCCCAGCCAATAAGTTTAACAGCATGACCATTGTAGGCAACTCCCCCAACGTGCTGGAAAAAATGGGTAAAAGGAAATGCTACATAAATGTTAGACTGCGCATACAGGACAATTTTGTTTTAGATCTATGCAATTATATCGAATCTCACAATATTTTATGCCGGCGAATTCACAAATTGTCAAATTTAAATGAAATATTAGGCACGTTTCACCATTTCTAATTCTTTTGTAACTCTGGATTGTGGAAGCAATTGCTTTCTACTGTCATTTTTTGATAACTATCCACTATCAAACTGCTTAACCCTCTGCTAAGGTTTCTGAAAGCAGATCAGCATTCTTATCTTTGTTCCAGTAAAAAAAATCATTACCATCGTGACGTTGGCCGTTCTGTTGTCAAACATTGCTACATTCACAATTGATATTGCGCTAGGTCTCTCAAAAGTAACTTTCATAATAAAAATTTTTATTCATACTTGCCTTTTGTTTACAAGTTTGAAACGTCCCAGAAAGTCGTCAAAATGTATTCATATTGAAACGCATTTTTAATTAATTTATAATAAATGAGCCAAATATTACTCAACTGCAAAAATGAAGTTTGAAAGTACATGCACAAAGCGCAGTTTTTTCCCTGAAAATCTAAGTACTCTAAAGGCTGTAGCGTGTATAACGTGCTAAAGGCCTACAGCAACATTACTAACGCGTGAACGCTCCAGAATACTTTCTTTCAAAATCCTTTATATAACTTTCAAAAAGCAAATTTCTAACCTTATATATCCCATTTTGGTAGTAACGGAAGTCATCATACAGTTCGAAAGATGCTTGAACTGGCCCATTAATCATTATTTCCTTCTGAATAGCTCTCACGGTATTTTTCACAAAGTACGCACGTTTTGCTGGAAAGCTTAAGTTGTGATTTTAACTAATTTGATTATTCAGAATATCCCTGGTGTTCTTTACTGGCTCCTTAGACTAACCGTAAATTTTGTCCTGGTAATATTTTCTCCCGTACCCAGGTTGACAATCTCTTTTGCATTCCGGTGTTGGATAGTAATAGCTGGGACAATCACCATAGTATTTTTGGCCGTTGTGATGACCACATGGCCAGAAAGGGTATGGCTTGCAAACATTCTTAAGAAGCACGTATTAGTTATCGAAACGATATGTTCAATAGCGTTTATGTGTTACCTTCTCTTCATAAAGACCTCCACTACAGACACCGACTTTCATGGCCTGTTCCCACGCTTTTATTGGAAATCCTCCATTACACCTGGTAAAATTTGAGAGCAGTGAAGTAAGCGCATTGAGATTATGTCACGTAGTAAAAGAACTGTGTTTTTATTTTGCTTGATAAGTATTTTTAAGGAAAAAAGCGTCATCGTAGTTATTAAAATAAAGGTGCCCAGATAGATGTAACAACTGTGAACATACTTTTGCTAAGCAACACTATATTAGACGGAGTAGCCTTCATCGGATTCTGAAGTGTTTAAAAAATTTGCTACTCTTCAAACGCTAATAATCTTGGCAGCATCGTTGAAGCAAAGACTTGCCGCCGAGTCCTGTGGGATGGCCTCAAATCGCGAGAAGTGGCATTAATCTCTGACCCTTAGATTAAAAAAATAGAAGAAGTTTTACACAGTGGCCAGCTTTGA